GGGAACTAAACATTTCTAAAAGTTTGTTTTTTTCAAAAATGTTCAATAAAAAAAGATCTCCATTCCCTCAACTGGGACTCGGGAGGCAGAGAATAGATGGGGGCGGGGCCAGTCAGAGGCGGTATTTACCGGTTCTCCGAACTACTCAAAATGTCCGCTACTGGTTCTCCAAAACTGGTCAGACCCTGCTGAATACCACCTCTGGTTCAGATGGGGATTTGCCATACCAAGCTAAACATTGTGCAATTGCAAAAATAACAGCAGATTTCAATTCTTGGTGTAAAAACGTATTTTTAGAACCCCTCACTGAAAAAAATTGTAAAAATTAATTTTCAACCCATTAAATGACATGCCCTACTCTGGCAGGGCCTGTTCCAACCCAAAGAGTCTTATGAAAAGGCATCAGTTTCCCTGGGTTGCAGCTTCCTCAGCCTTCTTCCTCTGGCCCTCCCATTCCACCTGTTTTTTGCGTTAAATCCAAAGCTCAACTTTTATAGTTGGAAGGTGGGATTTCCTCTTCAAGGTTCCTCTTCTGAAAGGTTCTCAAGATTCTCACACCCTCTGCCAGCTCCTCCACGGGCCCAATTTCAAATCCCTCCCCCTTTTGCTGCCTGGGCGCTGCAGGATCCTCTGGTGCCCCGAAGAACCAGTTGCAGCATTTTGCTCAATTGTTGGATGATGCAGCCAAATCCTTGCGAATGTCTACAAGTATATGGATTTCCTGCAACATTTTACAGGGGATGGCGGCATAGTGGCTGTTATTTTATCCTCTGCTAAATAGACATCTATTATTGTCAATTAAAGATGCTATTTTAAGCTAGGGACACCGTCTGCTGCAAGAGGGAAGAAAAATGGGGAGAATTAAATGGGATTACTGGGGAGTTTTCTAATATGCTCAGCATTCCTTTGGTAGTTCCTGAATATGGGCTGTTCTGCTGGGAGGCTTTCAGCAAGGCCGTTACTGGTTTATTTATACTTCTTTTACTTGATTTCTAGGCCCCCTCCGCATGGTTTGCCATCAGCAATATCGCCTATCAAAAGCCTCCTCCCTCAAAATCCTAGAGCCGTGATGGCGAACCTATGGCACGTGTGCCACAGATGGTATGCGGAGCCATTTGTTAAGGCACATGAGGTGTTGCCCTGTCAGCTCCAGTGTGCATGCATGCGCTGGCCAACTGACTGGCAACTACGCGGAGGAGAGCCTTTTCAGTAGTAGCTCCGACCCTTTGGAACGATCTCTCCGTGGA